GAGGGGTGCAAAACAACATGGGTCGCTTGATCTCTTCTATGTATAGATGTTTGAACATGTACAGTTGTAGGCTTACAGATGCAAAGAAAAAGAACTGAAAAGGTACACCTGAAAAGACCTACATCTGGGGAAGGGAATGGAAATTGAAGAGGAAAGGGGGATTTTTGTGCATTTACTCTTTATGTTTCTATCTTTAAACTGGCACGCACGCATGCGTAATTAAAACAATATCAACAGGGAAAGCAGCCATTTAAGGTCTCCGTGCAATGTGTAGTGGTTAAAGTGTAGGTTCTGGAGTAAAACTGTCAGGGTTCGAGTCCCGTCTCCTTTCTACTGGCTGTACATCCTTACACCGGTTATTTAACTTCTGTGCTTCCTTTTCCTCCAGCAGAAAACAGGAATAATAGTACTTACGTCATGTAGCTGTTAGGAGGATGAAATAAGGAATGCAGGGGAGAGCGTCTGGATCACAACCCGGCACACAGCAAACATTCAGCATCCGTTAGTCATTATAAATTAGAATAGTCAGACAACTTCCAGCTTTAATCAATTCTTTGTGCAAACGTCTCGGTTTAAAATGTTTCTAGTGACAGCTCTAGTAATCACGATGTATTTTCTCCAAGTTCCCTTGTGGTTGTTAATGGTATTGTCATACTCTTAGCCCGCTGGTAACCTCAAAAGGAAGAATAACAAATGCAAATGGAATTATCTTGTTTCGTGTAGAGTGCCGCGCGTTCTGTTTGTGGCATTCTCTTGACTTTGCTTCTTCAACCATGTAACCTTACACACCTGTTATTAGTCAACTAAAGAGATGGGAATAATGAGGCTTTTCTCTCTTCCTTAGGAAGACTATGATCGTCTGAGGCCTTTATCTTATCCAATGACTGATGTCTTCCTTATATGCTTCTCTGTGGTAAATCCAGCCTCATTTCAAAATGTGAAAGAGGAGTGGGTACCGGAACTTAAGGAATACGCACCAAATGTACCCTTTTTATTAATAGGAACTCAGGTACGTCTGCTTTAATTTCACCCATTTTTAAGAATAGTCTCTTTGGCCCATCTTGTGGTGTTGCTTTCAGACACATAGTCTTAAGTTTTAGCAAACAATATGCATTTTTAATCTCAGTTGCAAATTATAATAAATTCTATTTATTATAGAAAAATAATAATTTGTTAAAAGTAGTGCCAAAACTGGTTTTGAAAGTGAAGTTCATCTGTTTAATCTTTTTTGGGTATGGGGGATTAAATGGGACTACATGCTTTGATTTATCTTTAAACACTTGTAACATTATGGGACATTATTGACCTTTCTTGATTAGATTGATCTCCGAGATGACCCCAAAACTTTAGCAAGACTGAACGATATGAAAGAAAAACCCATTTGTGTGGAACAAGGACAGAAACTAGCAAAAGAGGTAATGGAACCTTAACAGAATATAAAAATAAACGTAAAAGCAGCTTGGGTAATAATAGAAGCTGACATTTATTGTGCATTTACTCTGTGCCAGGCATTGTGCTGAGTGCTGTACATGCATTGTCTCATTTAATCCTTTCACCTACTCGCGTGGGTCTGACTACAACAAACGAGGGCTTGGCGATGTCAGATAACTTGTCAGGTCCCGTCCGTAATAAATGGCAGAGCTGGGTTGCAGGGAAGACCTGACTGCAGAGCCCAGGCACACACACCTGCGTGATACGGCCAACAATATTTTCCTCTTCAGTTACCTGTAGAAAGAGGCATCAGAAAAAGCCCCTTTAAATCTCTTAAACGTTTATACTGTGCCAAAGCAGACTCTGTCTTCAGTGAAGACTCATGGAGTAGGTGGTGGAATGGCATATAGGATGAGTTTAAATCTGCAGCTAAAACCAAAAAATGATGGCTAGGCTTGAAAAGAAATGTGTTGAATTTTCTTCCAATCCTTTTATGAAAAATAGAAAATATTAGCATTCCAAAAAATAAACCACTGTGACGTGCATAGAACTTTTAACTTCTGTTCTCCCTCGCCCTGAAGCTAGGCTTACTTTTCTCTCTGCCCCTAACATTATTGGATTCTATTTTTTTAGATGTGACTTTAATAGGACTTTTGTGGAAACAGAATCTAATAAGGTCTTTCTAAATGTACTATCAGGAGGCAGAAGAAAGGGAGAAAACTTTTTGGAGAACAGTTTTTCCTAAAACAAAAGACAAATAGCTTCACTAACAAATCGCTTTAGAAATTCCACGCATTCAGTTTCATAATCTCAGGGAGAGAAAGGGATTTCTAAAATGTCATAGAGGTAAAATTGGTAAATGAAAATATTGGTGATTTAACTACATAAAAATTTGATACATCAAATGCCAGAGATACAACCGAAAGTCATAAAACAAACTTGACATGTGTGGCTGAAAAAATGGGTTAATATCTTAGTATATAGGAGTTCCTTACATATAAATTAATCAGAAAAAGACATATATATACCCCAATAGAAAAATGGGCTAAGAACATTAATGGAAAATTTACCAAAAATACAGATTGCCATTGAATATAGGAAATATGTTCTAAGTCCTTCGTTGTCAAATGCAAGTTCAGTTTCCGCCTATAAAATTGGCAAAAAAAAGAGAGAAATTAATTATAATAGCCACTGTTCCAGGGGTGCAAGGAAATGGGCACTCTCTCGTATCGTTGATCATTGAGTAAAAGCCATCTTGATAATAGGCAAAAGCCTTAAAGTCGTGCACACTTTTGATCAGGCAATTCCGTATGTAGGAATTTATCTTAAAATAATTATTACAGATGTGCTTAAAGAGATGGCTACAAAGTTGCTGCATTGTTTATAAAGGCAAAAAAAAAATCCCTCGCATCTATTAAAAATTTATACTAACACAGCTATTGAGATGTTTATATTTATTATGTAGTTTAAGCGGGAAAAAAGTGGTTGCAAAACACTAGGATCCCACTTGGAGGCCTGTTGGCAGCATTTGGGGCAGTGGGTTCCTGGGTTCCTTCTTAAAATACTTTCACCCAGCCCCCTTGCTTGCCCTGTCCTGGTTCTGTCCCCTGGCAATGGCCTCTCCTCCATGTCTCAAGTCCCTGTCTCTGCATGCTGGATGCCCATGGATCAGCACGCGGCTTCTGGAACATCTCTTCTGCAGCCACCCTCACTAGGCCCAGGTGAGCTGGTCGGTCTTGTGGTTTAAAAAAGTCTGCCACTGAAGATTCCCAAGTTTCTATCTCCAGCCTGACCGCTTCCCTAAACTCTAGACTCGGTTATCCAGCTGTTCACCCAACATGTCCATCTGGGTGGCTAAGCATCTAAAAATTAACATGTCCGAAACAGAATTCCTAATCTTATCCTCCGTGCCTGTCCTCCCAGTTACTCAGCTCAAAAACCCTGAAGTCACACCCGACTTTGCTCTCGCTCTCCTCCTGTGCAGGCAACCCTGCAGCAAAAGCTCTTGCCCTACCTTCAGAATCCGTCCAGCATTCACAGGCTCCTCACCGTCTGCTCCTCTAACAGTCTGGTCAGGCCCCTCTCTCTCTGGCCTGGATTATCGGAACAGCTCTGACTCACCTTTCTGCTTCTGTCTGTGACCCCATGTCAGTCTGTTCTCAACACGGCAGCCTGAGTGAGTCTTTAAAAATACAAGCTCCATCAGGTCACTGCTCTGTTCCCCAGCCAGTCGCAGAGGGCCAGAGCCCTTACCGGGGCCTAGAGACCCCTGCTATGTCCCGCCCTCACTGATCCTAGTCTATGCACATGGCCTCCTTGCTGTGTCCCCAAAGTCTCGTACCTCGGGGTCTTTGTCCTTCTGCCCCTCCCTCTGCCTGGAGTGTTCTTCCCTATGGAACCATTATTTTCTCACTCCGTCCAGGTCTCTGCTCAGATATCACTTTCTCAGTGAGACCTTGCCTGATCTTGTCCCCACTCCCTGTCTTCCTTCCCTAGACCACGTATTCCCTTCTGACATTCTACCTCTAGTAGCTTGCGGTGGTCTTCTCTTTCTAAAATGTAAGCTTCCTGAGAGTCGGGGAGACTTAATTTTGTTCCCTGCTGTAGACTCTCATTTGGCAAAATAAGAATGCTCAATTTCCAGTGATTGGATGAATGGAGCCTCTCCTAGAGTAGAAGCCAAAGTCCGTATCCCGGCCTCAGGGCTGCCTCACCACCTGCCTCACGGCTTGCTGGTCCCTCTCCTGCGGTTCTGGCTTCCTTACCATTCCCTGAACACTCCACTCATGCTCCTGCATCAGCGTCTTCCCACCTAGGGCTCTGTCTGCCTGGAAACTCTCCTCCGTGGCCCTCGCTGCTCACACCAGTTTGTTGAGAAGCTTCCCACCTGTGTCCTGTGCACTCCCCATCTCCCCCGCTCTGTGCTCTGAAGTGCACACCACCATCTGCTCTCTGTTCCCTTGGTGGGCGCCTCCCCCAGTAGGATTTAAGCAAATGTAAGCATCACACAGCAGGGACTTCAGTCTTTCGTTCAGTTCTTTGACATTATCTCCAGCACCTAAAACAGTGCTTGGCATATGGTAGGTAACCAGTAAATACTTGATGAATGACATTAATTTTCATAGAATAAGTGTGGAAGGATATACACTTAGTTTTTAGTTGGCTGTCTCTGGGTTTTTATGAATATGGATGATGATTTCATTCCTTCTGCATAGCTGTGTTTTCTCATTTTCCTTATAATGATGTGTTGTGTCATACCAACTGTGTAAAAAAAGATTTTATATGTTTGTGATTTCTTTTTCTCCCTCCCAGATAGGAGCATGCTGCTATGTGGAATGTTCGGCTTTAACCCAGAAGGGATTGAAGACTGTTTTCGATGAGGCTATCATAGCCATTTTAACTCCAAAGAAACACACAGTAAAAAAAAGAATAGGATCAAGATGTATAAACTGTTGTTTGATTACGTGAGAAACATCTTCAGTGGCCAAGGAAACTGTCCATTTCTCTCAAAAAGCATATGAAATGCTACAGCTATACCCAGACCTCTTATAAATAATGAAGCAGTTTAAAACTTGAAAAAAAACAAACAAAACCTGTCCTCAGAATTCTATAAAATTCATTAAGAATGTTTCTTAAAGGTCCAAGAAGCAGCAAACAGCATCTGAAGCCACAATCTACTATAAATACTTTATTTCAACTAGAAGGTACAATCTCTCAGGGGTTTCATAGTTTAAAAAGCTACAATCATTACCATGTTGTAACTACATAAAAAACAGTGCTGTAAATGGAACTGCCTGGCTTAGACCATGTACATTTCTGCACAGTCTTTATGGAATCTGCACAATGAAGTATCTTCTCCCTTTGCTCCAATTAATTGTTCTTGTATGTAAGTTGCTTTCTATTCCAGTATATCCAGAGTGGTGAAATCACAAGGCCAGCCACGTAGCCAAAGGTCGCTCCAAGCGTACAGGAGATGGGCCATACCTGAGGAGAGAATGTATGAGATCAAAAAAGAATAACTGTTTTACTATTACTTGAGCACAAGTTAAGTGTAACCTAAATATTTCTATATTAAAGCTTAATGTGCTTTCTTAAAGAATGCCAAAAGTGTAATAAGGTCATAACTGCATTTATCATGAACACTAAAAATGTACACATTCTAGTTAATGTACATTCGACTGTAACAAGGCTTCTGGCGACTGTAGATTTAGTTTGATGCTCCCCAAACTGCATGAGATACACCCTAAAATTACAAATTAAAATTCTGGGTCAGACTTTGTCATAATCCTGGACTCGATATAGCTGTCTGAAGTAGCTGGCAATTTAGTCTTTTAATTTCCACCTTGGCTTATATAATCAGATGACATGAGACGTGTGTATGCTGACCAAACTACAAGAAACTTTAAATAGTGCTAAAGAGAACAGACCTAGAATTCGAGCATGTTACATGGAATTTATAACAAAGCAACTTCTTCCTTAGTAATACTGATGTTACCTTTCAGACACAGGTATTGGAACCATAGCAGAAGTTCTAGAACTACAACTTATGTACACAACTAGAGTGTCAGTTAAATGAAATACTGGCTTCTAAATACCCATTTTCTCCAGCCATATTACATTTCGCAATATTACATCAAGCAAGCCAGAAGTAAATAATGTTGATTTCTTTCATCCACAGGCAGTGCATGCTAGTCTCTAGGTGAAAGGCCCTGCTTTAAAAAAAAAAAAAATTATGTTCATCTGTGAAGCTTATTTGGTATACTGGAGCCTTTTCTAATCTTTCTCTGGGGGATCAGGCCATAGAACTGTGTTAGAGGTGAACCATCTTAATTACTAGTTCTGTAACCTAATTAAGCTTCCTTGTTTGGTCTGCTACTGGATCTGCCTTGTTCCAAATGCCATGCAAGAGACAACAGTGTTAGACAAAGTTTCAGTGTGAACAAATTAATGCAGTTCAGAGAAGCATAATCTAACCCATAAATTTTTCTCCAGCCTTTCCTACTTTTAAACTTGCTGTTGACTAAATTATGATTTATTTATGTCTTTGGTGAGCTTCTGTTAATTTCCACGACTTGAGCTAATCGCTTTGTCTACTGCACAGATTGGGTAATGGAACACTAAACTTTTATACTTGAAAATGACAGCCTTAAATGCTCATATCAGTCACAAATCTAGGATGTACTGTCTTGTATGTGAGCTTTGTAGATTTTGAAAAATATAAGCATCATCTTCCCCACGGAAGAGTGGAAAGTCTACTGGATAACTAGTCAGGATCTTTCTCTCCGAACTGGACAGTGGATGTCTTCCTTCTCCCAGAAAGTGATGGTTCATATTAAGTACCATGGCCTTATGTGTGTTCAAACAGAATCTTTATGTAACTTTCTCATTTAATTTGGGTCGATTAATTATTAGCTATTTTTAGGTACAACTGAAAGGAAGTGCATAAATCAATTAGTATATTAACTAAGTTGTCCAACACATGGTATAAAGGAATTAAGACAGTAAAGTAGTATACGTTTCCAACTGGCCTTTGGGGATTTGATGGGGACTTTTTTTTCCTTCAAATTCACCTCTGAAACTTTTCATACTTGGTTTACTAGCCAATTAAAGTCTAGAATTTGATATGCCCTACGAGAAATGGACTAGGAATCCGGAAACATAAACTCCGGTGTCACTGTTTCCTGCCTGGGCCTCAGTTTCTTCATCTATAAACATGGGAGGTAGTTTGAGAGGACCTCCAGCATCTCTCCCATTTATCAACTCTTATGATTCTCTTCTCTCTTACTCACAATATTCATTGTTGGACATCACCTTTTCAGCTGCCCATTCTTAAGATGGTAAAAATCCTGTATATAGATTATTAGAACTCTAAGCAAAGATGATTGTATCATCTGAACCTGAGGTGCCTTAGGTACTCTATTGACCTTGATGGGGTTTGGAGTTTCCCATTGCTTATTAAGAGCCTTTTCATTGCTTTGATTCCTTAGTATTTCTTTTTGCACTCAATCCTTCCTGCCACCCTATAAAAACCAAAGATTTGTTTTCTATTCATGAGCAGATTGTAGAAAAATTGCCTTATTTTCAGAAGCACATCCTCATTAAAGACTTAAGTTTCAGCAGAAATTGAGACTAATCACTGGAACAACTAGTTCAAAGTAGTAAAATATCTGGGAAATAAAATACTTCAAAAATATCTTACTGACATGAATTTTGCTAGTCAATGCAAATACATTGCTTCAAATAAGGTCATGTATGAATGAACTTAACGTACAGTTATTTTTTTTTTGCATATAATCAGTTCTGAAATTCTTAAAAATAATTTTAGGGGCTCCCTGAAATCTTATTTCTAATACTTTGCTAACTTGTACCCTTATTCTGTTTCTACAGATACATTTTAGGTTAGCCCATGTTGAATGATCTTATTTCCAATAAGTAGAGCCTGAATTAATGGTTTTTATTGTGAATTAGTTACTTTAGGCGTTGCTTCCATTTGATTTTTAATTATTACTCTTAAGTACCAAATTAAATAACTGGTTTGTTGGTTGTTGTTTTTTAAGTGATTGTTACTTTTAACAGTGTCCCATCTTAACACATGGGGTTATAAATAAAATAATACGCATAGTTTACTATCTATGTAAAGCATTGAACTTCTTACCTTAGTTTTTATTTAACACCCTATGTAAACGTTTGGGATAATACTCATTCCTGTTTCTCATGCTGTGAGTCTTATCACCAGCCAAGTGTGAGCACCTGCACTTTGTTAAAAAAGCACATTGTCAAAGTGTAGAGAGAATAATAATCCCTCATGAATCCTAGCCAAATTCCAATTTGGGTCACTAAATTCTACTTGAGTCACTTTGTAATTTCAATATGGCTCTTCGTTTCCAAACATACGCACGTACACAGTCCCACGCACGTTCTTGAAACAGCCGCCGTATTGCACCTCCAGTGGTATGCCAAGATGAGCTAGTAGTTTTAAAAGTTGGGTCTAATGAGGGGTTGAGGCTTAGAACACTTGCTATTTATTCAATTCTTAAGAAATCCATGCCATCAGCAAGTTAAAATGTTGGACTGGCTTTGAAGACTATTTGCTAGTCATGAATCAGGCTTTCCTGCTTGACTTTCCTGGAATAAGGAGCCCTTAACTGTGACACATTTTGTTAAAGGAGAATTTCTTCATGTACGGGCAACCTTTCTGATTTTTTATTCCCAGGATAGGGAATGGCAAAAGGAGCAGCCGAAGGGAGCTGGGGGAGGCTGCCCACTAAATCACCTTTCCTCTAAGGTTCTCATGATTGAATTTCCTACTGACCTTCTTACAAATGCTTTAAAAAATTTAAAACTACACAATGGCAACAGATCTCATATTGACTTATCGAACCATGTTAGCTTCATCTCGCATTTTCATACTGAGATCTTGGGGTTTTCCATTTAAAACTAGGTACTTGTCTTACACATAGAGATGTTTCTGTTTAACATCTTCATGCCACAAATAGGCTTAAGAAACAAAAACAACTGGTATCATCTACTGAACAGACATTCCAACGGCAATGCTACAAACATTTCTCTAAATTACGGTCATCTGAGATGGCTATATATAATTATCTTGTTTTGTTTAAGGAAAATAGAAAACTCAAAGACATTCATGTAAAGGAAGTCATTCACAAGTGTTTGTCACCAAAATTACTGTCTTCTTCTTATCCAGTTTTTTATAAATTAAAAAATTTTTAACCACTAAATGGAAGGGAAAAAAAAAACCCGCTGCATGACAAAAGATAATTTATCATGCACGTGGGTAAAATTATTACAATTACTGTTAAAAAACCTATTTTAAAAAAAAATGAACAGCTACATCACAGGAACAAAGTGTCTTGCTTAGAGTACTACTATTATCCTTTATCTAAACCAAATGACTCCTTAACAACATTGTTTTTTCATCACTTAAACCAAAAAAGGTCAGTGTTCTCTTCAAATACTCAGCATTAAGAAAGGCCTAATATTATAGGGTCTGGGTACCTGGTACCAGCAATAGGTTATGTTTCTCTCAGAAATAAAACAATTTCACCCTAATAAGCTAAAAACCAATTTCTCAATAAATACATAGATTTAACTTTGTATGTTTTCTCTGTTAAACAAATCCATGTTATTGCTGGTTGAAAGACATTTCAAAATTATACAAGCTTATTCCCACCTGAAGACCACACTGCTCTCTTCTCATCAAGCATTACTGATATATTTATGTCGTGCTGGGACTTTTCAAAACATGTTCTGAGTAGTACAGAATAATGATTTAAGAATACTACTTTTTGTATGAGATTGGATCTGAGTCTCAGCTCTGCCATTTTTTATAAATACGTGACCCTGCGCAAGTCACCCATCCTCTCTGTACCTTGGTTTCTCATCTGTGAAATGAGGAGCATCAGAAAACCCACCTCACGGGGTTGCTGTACTGATTAAATGAGATAATGAGATAATACACTAAGCAGCTCTGAGAACCATACCTATAACAGTATCTGGCACATGGTACATGTGAGCTATAAATTGATAATTTTTAGTCCATACTCCTAACAGATAAGTTGTCATTACAATCTAGAACACCATTATTCCACAAATACACCATCTCTAAAGCTATTAAAAAATTCCTCCCCAAATTTTAAATTGTAGTTTAAAAAACTGTATCTAGGGGCGCCTGGGTGGCTCAGTCGCTTAAGCGTCCAACTCTTGATTTCGGCTAAGGTCATGATCTCAGGGTCCTGAGATCAAACCCTGTTTCGGGCTCTGCCCTGAGGGTGGAGCCTGCTAAAGATTCTCTGTCTCCCTCTGCCCCATCCCCCCCACTCTAAAAAATAAATAAATAAAAAATAAAAACTATATTTAACAGGATCCATGTTTCCTTCTTGTCAAACATGATCCACAGATTTTATATGTATATATCATACCATTTCAGGGGCTCAAAGACCCCCATCTATAGACTCCTGGTTAAG